TCTCTCTCCCCTTTCCTGTCACTCTTCAGCTGTCACTATCGATTAAAGGAAATAAAAGCCCCCAAAGAATATATATATTTTTTAAAAACTGTAAATAAATGTGTCAAAACTAGATGGTTATAACTTTTATATTGTCAAGCATTCATTAACCGTTTACATGCCAGTTATGCATGCTTCATATGCTGTCAGTTACATTAATAATCACTTTAAAATGTCCTTAAAGGTCAATTTAGGAGAATCTATTGAGAGAAATAAAATATAATATTCATAGGTATGTTTACATTAGTGTGTAATCACCTGAATTTAGGAAACGTTGTGTTTTTGTTACCTTAAAAGGAGTCTTTTATATCTACAGACACCGCAGGTTGCCTTCTATTGGGGCCGCCATGTTGAACTGACATGTTTCTACAGTAGCCCAGAAAGGACAAAGCAAACACCGGCTGTAGATAGGGGCGTTGTAGTTGTTGTAGCACTGTAGTTTCTCTTTTGCGCTTGGAAGGGTTAAAACAATAGAGTTGTGATCTGCAATTACACATTTACTAATTAAATTATACTGTATTATTAACCACCTATCAACTGGTCATATGCTGCTTATCAATGCTAAATTGAAGGGAAAAACATTAACATGGTACCAGAATGACCTAATATACAAAAACAAATTCTGAAATGAATGTTAAGTATCATGTTTTGAGTTAAAGTGGAACCACAGTGTTTTAAATTAAATGTAAATCAGGGTTGTACCTTTAATTAAATGTAATACAAAGGTTACTTAAGTGATTTTGTCTCATATTCATAAAATTGATTCTGCCTAAGTGATTACACTGATGTTCTATTAATATGAGATCAATATCTTGTGAACAGGCAGCATGATTCACAGCTAAGAGTCAATGTAAATACATTAAGCTCAATAATGTTCTTGAAACAAACTAATCAGAGTACAAATCTAAGTACAGTATCTCCCTCCGCTGGTAGATACTGAGTCCTTCATTTATCTTGAGGAAAACAGACGTTTGAGGTAAGTTAGAATATAAAAGTTTTTTGAGGTGCAGAGGATTACTTAGGATGTCTTGCGGAGCTTCATATCCAAAGCACGAAGCTGTTTGAGGAATCCCCTGTTTGGGAAAATCCACCTGCGCTCTTTGACCTTATTGATGGCCTCGAGGAGAGTGTAACGTTGCTGGATCATTAGGTAGGCCAGGACGAGGGAGGCAGATCTGCTCACTCCAACTGCACAGTGGACAAAAACCCGAGCTGGTCAAGAAGAAGAAAAAAGGATTACAATGAGCCTAAAGCTTGAGCTGATACTGGGATTTTATTCTGGATAAGATGAGTGACTTGCAGAGAGGCCTGCACAGTCTGAGATAAAAATGAGTGACAATAAAAGCAACACAATGGGTATTTACCACCAGCTGTGTCAAGTGCACTCTGAATATACTCAGCGGAGGGAAAGAAATAGCGAGAGAGGTCAAAGGATGGCGAGTCATCGGCAGGCACTCCATAATAATCCACAGTGGAGCCGTAGAAGTCATGACTCCCCTGACAGTGCATCCTCCCATGAGCGACATTCACAACATGAGTGATTCCCAGCTTCCATAGACTGTAGCGATCATTGGCCACTGACCTGTGGACAGGAGACACGTTAGAAGGGAAACAATCTAAGCATTATTTTTTATTTCATAAGCAAAACACTTACATGTCGCCAATGAAGAGGTTAGGCCAAACTTCATCCACATGATTCCCAAACCTTTTTCCTCCATACAAAATCTTCACTAAGTCTTTCACAGAAGGCGTGGCTACATTACTGTCCTGAATGTTCATAGCTGACCGCATGAATATTTATAGCTTCCTACATGACAAAATGCTCCCCTGAAACTACACATTTGTGTGATTTATTCTCCCAACTTTTACTCTCAATCTCTGTTGAGGCTTTACTACAACCATGTTGGTACTGACAAGGACAGGTGTTCCTGGTCTAAAATTAAATCAGTGACCCAAATTGTGAATGTTGGTCAACCTCACACCTCTAAATCTTTATGAAGTACATTTTAGGTCCTAACACGATTTCTCATTGTGTGTCCTTTTAACTGCACTGAGAATCACTTGCTTTCTCATCACAACAATCACTATACTGCAGTATTAAACACGCTGCAGTTGCCTCTTTTCACCAGTGGGCGTCGCTGTTTGTCAGCTGGAGATTTTTGTCCCCCCCTTGTGCGCAGCTATTACAGACAATACCGCCTTGTGTTGTCAACAGTATTGCTAACCAGCGCGAAGCCTGGGCGAAATGATTTCCAACAAGCCCGTGTTATTGCAGCATACGTTTATACGATTTCTTCAGCTTCTTGTGAGATGCCATTTAGCCAGCTAGCCGAGTAAATAAGTGTCTGTATCGTCCTCTGTCACATCTCAGTGCGGGTGAGTGAGCGTAAGGCACACGCATTGATTAAACCAGCGAATAGCTTGCTGGCTAACGTTAGCTCAGAGCTGAATTAGCCTTGCTGGGGGTTTGGGGGGGGTAGTTGTGATAGAAGAAAAGGATGCTTTTCCGCTTGGTTTCGTGTCTGCCGAGAGCATGCTTGTCGTTACACACACCGCCAAAAACCAGGTTGGCTAATTATCTTACCAGGATATAAAGAGAAGGTAGTGGAATTAGCTCCTGGCCCCACCTAATGGATAGCTAGTGATGTGGGTTTTTTTTTCTTTTTTAATGCAGGTGGATGGATTTTACTGGACAAAGTTACTGACCACCACATAAGCTGCAGTGTCAACATGTCACACGTCCCCTTTAATAAGCAGAAATGCTATCATTGTATGGGATGTCTTGGCAATCCTAGGTACAGTCTTGGGAGACAGGGTTTGTTGCCACTTACACTGAAGTTGAGCTTGAATTGTCATTGTGTGGGATAGTGAGGGCTTGACATACAGTTCGGGATAATAAACCAGCAAGTCATTATCCATAAGTAGGTTTTAAAGGCACTGTCCGACCTGGTGAACGTGTCTGCTCCTTCACCTAAATCCTCAGGGTGTGGTTCCCATTGTGCAAACTTATCTTAGCACACTCTTGCCACTGTTTGCCTCAAATAGCTGTGAATGCTCAGCTTGCCTTGTGGAGCTCAGGAATTGTCTTAAACTTGTTATCACTTAACGTTTTGTCAGAGTGTAGTTATTTTCTGTCTATGTGGCAGTCTTGCGTGGTTTGTTTGGAATTAGTATTGCTGATTCAGTAGAAACAAAGAGTGCCTGACAGTGCCTCATCTCCTTAAGACTCCTTCGCTCGTTGGTGAGGAAGTCACTAAGGAACTGATTTTGACAGTAAGGCAGAGTTCGGTTGTTTGAGTTGCACTTTTACAAATTTGACGTTCTTTTCTCCAGCCTTCAGAGTGAGGAGGAAATGACCCAACTGAGTGTTCGTCGCTGGACGCCCAAACACGTCGCCAAGTGGCTGAAGGAAGAGGGTTTTTGCGACTATGTCGACTTGCTGTGCAACAAGCACCGACTGGACGGCACCAGTCTGCTCGCCCTCAGCGAGTATGACCTCCGCTCGCCGCCTCTGGAGCTCAAAGTGCTGGGGGACATCAAGCGGCTGATGGTGTCCATCCGCAAACTCCAGAAACAGAACATAGAGCTGTTGGAGGAGCTGGGTCTGCCCTTTGATGGCCACTCTCCTACAGGCTCCGGAGGCAGTTTGGACTGGCTGTGTAATGGAGACTCAGGCAGAGACTGCGATAGCACTGACACAGCACCAGTGGGAGAGGAGTATCACCAGTACACTAATGGGAAGTACAAGCAGCAGACGAGGCGCCTGGACCCAGAGTACTGGAAGACAGTGCTTAGCTCCATCTATGTGGTGTTTGTGTTTGGATTCACGTCCTTTGTCATGGTCATAGTGCATGAGAGGGTGCCTGACATGCGCACGTACCCTCCGCTGCCAGATATTTTCCTCGACAGGTGGGTGTATGACAGCTAAGACTCTCTCAAGTCCTGTTTTTCTGACCTGGGGCGCCGGGTAGCCCTTAAAAAAGCAACAAAAACAGTCAGCTGTGAAATTCCAAGGAGAGAGTGAAACAAAAAAAATATTTTTATCAACTGTCAGAGTATCACACCAGATGGTGGACATTATAATTGCCCTACTTCCTTGTAGCATGTTTCTATAATTGTCCTCAAATATTCCTGATGGGATAGCTTTGGTTCAAAGAGATCTTTTGAGTGTGTTTTTTTTTTTTTTAAGTGACCTACTTTGTAGTGTGACCCGTTGTTTATGACCAGCTTTGAGCTTTTTGTGGAATGTCTCAGTTTATTAGGGAAGCTAATTTCAGGTTAATGCCAGTGTGTGCTTGGCAAGATAAAACATGTAGTGATTTTAGTGTTTAGGGTTCATGTTTTGCTGAAATCAGTCATGAAACTTTGTACGTAGATATCAGAACCTGTTTGAAATATTTAAGCCATAACTGTAGTATTTTAACTTTCAGGGCTAAAGCTAATGGTTGATTAATTAATGATTTAATTAATTAAGTCATTATTGATTGATCTGCCAGTCTATAAAATGTTAAAAAAAAAGAAGAAGCAAAACAGGAAATTGCTTGTTTTGTCCAACCGACAGTCAAAACCCCAAAGATATTCAATGTATACTACTATAAAACACATAAAAGCAGAAAATCGTCACATTAAAAAACTCAAACCAGAGAATGTTTGGAGTTTTTTTATTGATAAATGAATAAGTGATGATAACAATCACTTATCGACTGGTTATTTCAGCACTAATATCTCTTTTCCCCTCTTTCCAACAGTGTGCCTAGAATACCATGGGCCTTTGCCATGGCTGAAGCGTGTGGAGTGATCCTCTGTAATATCTGGCTGCTGGTTCTGCTGCTCCACAAACACAGGTAGAGTGCTGACAGTGTCTCACATCAGCGCAGTGTCAGCGCAGGGATTCTGCTGTAGGATACCTAAAGTGTGTCACTTAATTCGGGACCACGGAAGACCCGAGCTAATGCTTTCTCACAACTTGTAGGTCCATCCTTCTGCGGCGCATGTGCAGCCTCATGGGGACGGTGTTCATGCTGCGCTGTATCACCATGTTTGTCACCTCCCTGTCTGTGCCAGGACAGCACCTGCAATGCTCAGGAAAGGTAACACCTTTTTTTTTTTTTAAACAAATTCTTCCACTACATGTCTGCCTCTTTTTGGAAGACCACAGTACTGATAGTTTCTTCTCTCCCCCTTTTAGATATATGGTGACATGTGGGCCAAGCTGCAGCGAGCTGTGGCCATCTGGAGCGGTTTTGGGATGACCCTGACAGGAGTGCATACATGCGGTGACTACATGTTCAGTGGCCACACCGTGGTCCTTACCCTGCTCAACTTCTTTGTCACAGAGTGTGAGTAGCCTCTAAATCTGAGGTCATTTTGCGTTAAATTCAGATCCACTTTATACCTCAAAAGCCCCTTAAAGCTTTTGTTAAGATTAAGAGGGAATGGCCATTAAATAAGTAATAACAAGTTGAATTGGTTGTCAGATTTTGGCCACATTCATTCAAGAAAACCAGGTGAAATTATGAGCTTTTATTAAAAGCTGTGACATTGGTGGGTTAAAGTAATAAGTCATGAGGAAGAAACTGTGACTATATTTGGCAACATTGTAACTTTGTTGCCATCCAGTGTCTTTCCCTGGTATTACAACTGAAATAAAAACTAGTATTCCTCAGTCTGACCTGGACAGAAGTAGTCCGTCTCCTATGATATGATATGATAGATGATATTGTGAAACTCTGAAAAAAAACAACAACCAAAGTGTCTCTTCAGCTGTTCTTTATTCTTATTTCACAAACAGACACTCCACGAAGCTGGAACTTCATTCATACGTTGTCCTGGGTCCTGAATCTCTTCGGCATCTTCTTCATCTTGGCTGCGCATGAACACTACTCCATCGACGTGTTCATAGCGTTCTACATCACTACCAGACTCTTCCTGTACTACCACACTCTGGCCAACACCCGGGCCTACCAGCAGAGTCGACGAGCTCGCATCTGGTTCCCCATGTTCTCCTTCTTCGAGTGCAACGTGAACGGGCCCGTCCCCAACGAGTACTGCTGGCCCTTCTCTAGACCCACTGTGATAAGGAGGCTGATTGGATAATAAGCAGCTTCAGCACTAATGTCAGACACTTGTTAGCCTGTGCTGTTTCGTCTGCTTTGTCAAGTTGCCAACTGAGGTGGTGTGTGTGTGTGATATCTTCATCAACAAAGACAACAGATGTGAATCCTGTTAGCACCGAGGCCTGATGGGATACACAGAGCCATAACTTCTTATATTCTGGGACTCATCTTCTAAACCTGCTTCATTTTTAGGTGGATTACACAACATCTACAAAACCCTACATTCATTCATTTGAAAAGTGAACACAGTGAAGACATGTCTCATGTATTGGTTGCTTGTTTTTCTTTTAAAGGGATATTATTTCATGTAGCATGAACTGCTTTTTTAAGTACCTCACAACTTTAAAAACATACTCATCATTAAGAGTATTTGGTGATTAAAAAGAAGCCACTAAAGACTCTCAGGCAGCAGTCTACCTAATCCTTCCCAGCAGTTTGCTACTTTCTGTGCAATTACAAATACCTGATCATTTCAAGGTTTGGATCTGGATTCTTTGTCTGAAAGTTTTGTAAAACATAACACTATGGACCACTGTTAAAGCAATATGTAAAGATCTACATTTCACTGTTGCTATTTTCTGTATAGCAAAATAATGTTGAACATGTCGAAAAACAGATCTTTGCCATTGTTTCAATTTCTTTTTCATTCCTTGAGATTATGCTTACGTTTTGACAGTGTTACTAAATGTTGACAGAGTAATTCATGCCTCATTGAAAGATGCAGTAAGATAGAGCAGTTCTCTATTGATATTGTTCACTTAGCGCTGCATTTTCCTCACCAGACGTAGTAAAGATGCATTCAAGGAAACGTCGGCCAAAAACGTGGAATCAGAAGATTTTTTCCAGCTGTCTTAAATATATAATTCCATTTGCCAATTACCTTGAGTGTTATGATAGGTTTCTCTGTGTAGAAATGTCCCAAATCTTTCATGTTTACTGTGCGATAGTTGTATAGTGTTTTTAAAAGAAAAAAAAAAAATCCATAGAGTGTAAATGACCAGATTTGTGTAGAATTTGAACTTTCCCTGATAATAATCCTTTAACATCAATCTGTAGTAAGGGTTCTTTAAAAGGACCTATAAATTTGTATGTATTCGTTTATATTAATTTATTTAATTTTGTAAATGTCAATAGGTATTTTTATATTTCATATACAGTGTTATAGCAACATGCACATGGAGAAATATGTTTACAGTTGCTCTTAACTTTGTATTTGTTGGAAACACAATGTGCTTTTTAAGTGTAATGTTTATTTCAGATTGGCCTCTGCATTTCATTGAGTGAAACTTGCCAGATGTTGTAATTGATTCGGTCATTGGCATATAAACATGATTATTCTGAATGGAGTTGACGGTCTACAACACGTCCTTTCACTGACGAATGATGCTGTTGTGTTCAGACGCTCCTGCAAAGCCACATTACTCGTTTCATGTCTTGTTCAGTCATTTCCATCATTAAAGAGCTGAAATCAAAGACTGGGTTGTTGTTTTTTTTACCCCACTCACTGCACAACCATATAATACATGTTCCCTATAAATAGATACTGTGCATAGTTCTCAGCATGAGCGATATACAGCTCATAAAACAGTGGAAAACTAATATTTACTGTGTGTTTTAACCTTATATGCTGTGAATGATTTTAACCTATAATACTATACTGACCAACTATTTGTCATTTATTTTCTTTTTGGGGAAATCAAAATAATTTACTGAGCACTGTACCAGGAACTTTATATTAAACTTATTTATATTACTCATATTTTTCTTATATTTTACAAATACTAAGACTTAGTTTTCCTCGCAATTGTTGTTATTTATACCAGATTTACAGAATTAAAGCTAAACACCGTTAGCATTAGCCACATTTGCGTATTGGTAACCATGGTGATTTAGAGGTCTTCCTCTTGCCGGTAAGCAGCACAAAAAAGGGCGTGAAAAACATTAACTCTCACGAACCACAAAAACTACGTTTGCTGTTGCCAAACTACATAACACGCAAATTCTTAACGAACTGACCGAGAATTGCAAAAAAAAAAAAAAATCATCATCTCGCCGTTATTTCAGACGGGCACAGAAATAAAGCAGCTATACTGCGGGTCCTGCGGCGCCGAGGTCAGGAGGGTGTTTGTTGCGGTGTCTCCTCCATATCGTCCTACAGCGGCTCCTCACGCTCTCCTGCCCGCTTTATTTCACTGTCTCACAAAGCTGACAGCCACATAATCAACAGCAGTGACATTGGGTGAGTCGTTGGCTGTGTGTTTACTTCACTTCACGTTTTGTGTTTTAGTTTGAATGTCAGCGAGGTGGTTATCAAACGTCGTTGTTAGCTAATGTTAGGGGGGAAAAAAAAACGCCCCCTACCCTGCTCGTGTGTTCAAACTCCTTCAAACAGGCTCCAATGACAGTGTAATGTGCTTTTTAATAGTAAAACTTACCAATAGGCCATCCTCAACTACGCATAATAGCAGAAAACCCCCTCTAATTTAAGGAAAGTTTAAGCCTTAACCGGTTTTATTCAGTGTGTTATTCTGCAAAAGGCTGCTTTTTGCAAGGTGTGCTGGTTACTGTAAGCATACACTTACAAGCCTCCGGTCTAACCTTGACATTGAGAAGCAGTGACAGCACAATCTGAGAGATTGTGTGACTCAGGTGTGGCAAAACTAAGATAAAAGGCCTGTGACATCCCTTTATAGCTATTTAATAGAATAAGCTTCGTCACACTGCAAGGAATACTGTCCGTTTTAGTCATTTTTACCATAATGTTGGTCAAAAGTGGTACATTTTAGGTAATTAAGTCTTATAATAGTAGGAAAAAATTGTAAAAATGCAAATTACCTCAAGGCAGGGAGGCTGGAAGTCAGTCGGAGCTGGGGGTGCTGAGAGAAAATCTGTCTATATACTGGCATCATTGCTTTAATTTGAATGGCCAGGATGATTTATAGCCTATTTATTATTAACAATTACACACATTTTTAACTTTTGAGGGGATAAAAATAATTAAAAAACAAGGCAAAACCTCGTTCCTGCCACAAATACCAGTGTACATATGTAAATCCCAGTAAAAAAGAAGAAAGTCACGAGTTTAAACATTTTCTTGAAATAATGGTTTACATTATGTCCTGATTTCTCCACCGTCCTCTAAGGTGACTGTACTGCACAAATTCCCAGAAAAGATATGTGGACATTAACCCGCTCTTTTATAGGCCCGTCAGTTTGCAGTTGCACATTTTTCTGACACTGTACACATGCTTAGTTTCACATTTTTGAAGTGTCCTTTTTGTGACAGGCGAAATGGCAGTTCCTCCAGCATATGCAGACCTTGGAAAATCAGCGAAGGACATCTTCAATAAGGGATATGGTAACTGGAAGCAAGATAAAAGGCAGTTTTATAAGTGTGTATTTATTGACCCTCAGAGGACAGGACGGCTGTTTACAATGCGCCACCCAACTCAGAAAGTAGTCCTTCACTGTCATTGTCCTTGCAGGTTTTGGACTGGTTAAGCTTGATGTGAAGACAAAGTCTTCAAGTGGAGTGGTGAGTTACTGTAATATACACTAGTGCATTGTAGGTATTATTAGTTGATTTGAGGTCACATACATAACAACATCAGTCTATATGTTGGCTGATAAGTAACAAGAAATTGCAGTACCCAAATGAAATGGATTCATTTCCTCTTGTATTCACTCTAGGAGTTCAAAACGTCCGGCTCATCCAACGTAGACACCAGCAAGGTCACTGGAACCCTGGAAACCAAGTACAAGTGGGCTGAGTACGGGCTGACGTTCACAGAGAAGTGGACCACAGAAAACACACTTGGAACAGAAATTTGCGTAGAGGATCAGGTAAATTGAAAACGGTGCTATGTTGCTGATCACTAATAAAATGGCTCTAAATGAAGTCTGACTGATGGAATGATCTTCTTTAGATCACCAAAGGGCTGAAACTTACTTTCGACACTACATTTTCACCAAATACTGGGTAAGCTACTGTTTATATGTTCATTGTAAAATAGTGACTTGCAACCATTGTATAGAGAACCGCCTTCTAACGCCACTTTATTTTCCTGATTCATTTCACAGCAAGAAGAGTGGCAAGGTCAAGACTGCTTACAAAAGGGAATACCTTAATGCTGGTGTTGACGTAGATTTAGATTTCGCTGGTCCTACTATCCATGGAGCAGCAGTGGGCGGCTACGAGGGCTGGCTGGCTGGCTACCAGATGACCTTTGACTCGGCCAAATCCAAGATGACCCAGAGCAACTTTGCAGTTGGTTACAAGACCGGGGACTTCCAGCTCCACACCAATGTGTACGTTTTAGGATCAGCAAATATTTAAACCAAGCAGGGTAAATAACTTAACTGTAGAGTGATACAACCAGTTGATTGTTGACAACATTGTTTGCTTTTTTGGCTCTCTCAGAAATGACGGTTCAGAGTTTGGTGGATCCATTTACCAGAAGGTAAACGACAAACTGGAGACTGCTGTGAATCTTGCCTGGACAGCAGGCAGCAACGGCACTCGCTTTGGAATTGCTGCCAAATACCAGTTAGACTCCAGTGCCTCCATATCAGTAAGTTTGTTTTTGTTCCTCCAAGGAAGTCCTGTTTCACCTCCTGTTTGTCAGCAGGTAACTCAGAAATGTGTTAACAGTTCAGTGAAATATAAGTCGGGAATGAGGTCATAGGTCATAGGCCGAGGAACAAGTGATTGGTGTTTTTGTTACCTTAGAATAAGCCTGTTTTATCCTCAGACGCAGCGGGTCGCCTTCCATGGAGTCTGCTTTGTTGAACTACTAACTCAGAAGGGACGACCCAAACAGTGGCTGTAGATGGGTTTTTTGTGTTTCACAGCCCCCATAGTTTTTCCGACACACTTCACAGCCGGTTTTCATTCCCAGGTCGTCAAATACAAACGGCAGTGGTGTTCAGTTAGTTGCAATCTGCAACTTCACTGTTCAATGCCACTAAATGCTACACAAAAGTACATTCAGTGCATCAAATAATGCATTAGTTTAGCATTGTAGCATTAGAGGCAGTACCGTATGTACTCTTTGAATGCTAGTTTACTGATTTAATGTGTTTTCTCCAGGCTAAGGTGAATAATGCCAGCTTGGTAGGAATTGGATACACCCAAACCCTCCGGCCTGGTAAGAACCATCTATTGTCTAATATTTAATTTTAAAAAAACGCCTGCAAACACAAAGTAAACATATATATTTTCTTTGTTTTTCAGGTATGAAACTACTTCTCTCTGCACTGGTGGATGGGAAGAACATCAATGCTGGTGGTCACAAACTTGGTCTGGGCCTGGAGTTGGAGGCATGAGGATCTGCTCCGCCATTTCATAAGAAGAATAGGAATATCAGCTGAATCTGATCCTGAGCGTTCCTGTCTGGTCAGCAACAGATATTTTAAAGAGATGAAGCCAAAACGAGAAAAAAAGAAGCCCAGCTCTCGAGCACTGTTAAACTTTTCCACCAGCCTCCTTTTCATTGTGGTCACAATACGTAGTCATGTTTCAATCACATGTAATTATAAATCAGTGACTCATTCTGCCAATGTATCCTCCATAGTGATAGAAAAAACCCTCCTCTGGGTGCCCCATGTCCAGGAATGGCTTCAAAAAAGACAAAACCTTATTTTGCTGAAGTGTGATAGCGTAGAATGTAAATCCGAGCTGTTACTTTTGCACAGTAGAACATACCTTTATTTAAGCTCTTTCCTCTTTGTTTTATTTGCACATTTTATTTGTATTTTAGTTGTGATGGTCTGCCTGCTGGAGGTCACTCCAACGACATATGCTTATCAAGATCGAAGCCAATGTATTGGCCGGTCTTCACTTATCTTTCTAGAGAGGCTTAATTGTGCTGTGTGATGAGACCTCCACTACCTGAAAATACCTGCTAAGTTCCAAGATAATGCTAAATGGATGTTTCTTTCCTCAGTGTGACTTGAGTGAAAGAATATCCGACACTTTTATTCCCATTTTTTGAGGACTGTGACACTAATTTGGAAGCGGTTTGTGTGTTGGCGTGACTAACCTTTACAATAAAGTCCTGAAATCAACCATCATCCTCTCCTGTAATTTGATATTAATACATAATTCATCAAACCAAATAAATAATATATAATGATAAAGTCAAACACAAAATGTAATTAAATTCCGTCACTATTTTATTGAAACATTACAACTTTAAGAAGACCTACAGGATCACTATGTTATATTCCAAACCTTAGAAATCATAACACTTATCATACATTTGTCCTATAGTTTGATAGCCAGTGTGAGACCATCTCCCACTGTGAGCATGCTCAGGCTGACTCGAGTGTCTCGGTGCAACTTCTTGTTCAGCTTGTCGATGGCCACAGTGTCTTCGTCATCCGGGGAGGGATTCACCACCTTTCCACCCCACAGCACCTGAATGAAAAGCCGGAAAAAAAACAAGTTCGTATTTAGATATATATGTATTTAA